GAAAGTCCAGATTTGAATACAATCGAACACACATGGGACGGAGATTACGAAACTTGCCAAGACAACCAACAATATTATAAGATCTATCTGAAACTCTTGTACAGATATAGATTGATATTCCACAAGTAAAAACAAGCGCCTCTATTACAATACAGAATCGATTATATGATGTTATCCCATAACGTGAAGGCAACACACGATATTAGAATGCACATATTTGCTAATATTTGCAAAATTAAAAGGGTTTCGAGTCAAAAAATACTGCGAAATTGACGAATTGCAGGGTCATTACCTCTGATACCATTATACTCAAATACATACAAAAACACATATATACATATTTGTGGAGAAAGGTAAATTATAAACTACCTTATTATAGTTATTATAGGCAAATCATCGGTAAGCATAATAGTCGGTAAGCCTCGTATAGTTTACGAGTACTGTCCCAAAAGTATCTGACCTACCTCGATTTCTCGGCGCTTCATTTAATCTTCGTCATCCGGGTAGTGGCATTCTTCAAAGTCATTTGATGGAATAAGACGATCAATCATATCGATGTTTTCATTTATTAAGGCACTCTTAAAAGTCAGACTTCGGAATTGACTTTAGTACATTCGTCGCATTAGTTTCAATAGTCTTTTTATTGTCGAATTGATGTCCCTTAAGCGGCATTTTCAATCAAGGAAACAGCCAAAAGTCGCAGGCAGCTATATCAGAACTGTATGGAGGCTAATGGAGCTGCACAATACTGCGTTTCAATAAATAAATCAAACAAGGTTTGATGCATGCGCTGGAGCATTGTCGTGATGAAAAAGCCAGTCACCATTTCCCAAAGTTTCGGTCGTTTTCTCTTGATTGCATCATATAATCTTTTCAAAACTTCAATATTGTACTCTTTATTGATTGTCTGACCTATAGAAGCATATTCGTGATGCATAACGCCCTTATAATTGGAAAAAAAAACAATCAACATTGACTTGATGTTGCTTCGACTTTGACGGACTTTTTTCGGTCGAGGCTCGAATGGAGGCTTCCACTGCGTAGATTGTTTTGTTTTAGGATCATAACCATAAACCCATGATTCATTATCAGTAATAACCTTTTTAAGCAAGTTTTCATCACTATTGATCATTTTTAGATTGTCCTTAGCGATTTCTAATCCAAGGTTTCTTTGCTGGTCTGAAAGCAGTTTCGGGATACATTTTTGTACACATACGAATCATTCCTAAATTCTCGGTTAAAATCGCCAAACAGTACTTTTTAGTATTCCAACTTCATCTTTTAGTTCTCTCACAGTCAAACGACGATCTTGTTTAAATACGACGTACACACGTTCGACATTATCCGGCAATGTTCCCGTCAAAGGTCGACCAGAACGAGCATCACTGTCAATAGATGTGTAGCCACTTTTGAATCACCTATACCACGCTTTTATTTATGTTTTACCTATACACTCATCTTTAAAGGCTTTTTGCAACATTTCAATAGTTTCCATACGAATTCTACCGAGATTATAGTAAAATTTTATACCAATTCACTGTTCAGTTCGTTCTGCCATTTTTAGCAATAAACGAATTGCGACAAACCCAAAAAAGTTGTTGTAAACAAATACACGTTTCGCGGAAACTAAGGCGTTTCATCGGAATCTCGGGCTACTGACGAGAAGGTTAAAAGTTGCTGGTGATGTTGGTACTATCCAGAGATTGCCTAAGTCTCTCCGCGCGAATATATGAACATAGATCGGATACTTTTGGGACAAAACTCGTACATTCATATACTCCTTACTACCCCTACAAAGGTATTATTTCAAGTTTTTCACAGCCTACCGGGGGCAAACGCGTCGCGAGTGAGAAACGTGTACTCTTAGAGAATCACGCGACGAATTTGAACCATCCGCACCAGTCGTCGTGAACAGATCAACCCGATAAAACTAAAGACAGAAAAATACTTACAAGTGCATTAGAAAAGTGCAGATTGAGGTCCAGAAGGGCCAATAAATCGTTTCAGAAGACGGCGACTTCAATTCTAGTCGGAATTGACAGTAAACGCCTCCGCGGGAAGCCTCGCAAAAATGTAAAAACCATTCAAAATAGGGTTCAGATGACCTCACTAATCCGTCTAGTATCCCCCGCCTCGAAGAAAAAGCGAGAACGACCCTGAAAAATGCTATTCATTATTGCATCAGGTCCTGCGAGAGGATGCCTTGGGAGACCGACGAAAAAAATCTCAGCTCCATTTCTTGTGACAAAGGCCCTGAGCAGCCATAGAGGCGCCCACCTTCGATGTCAATCTGAAAGAATTTTATAGTAATATGCAGGATCGTTACAAAATGAACATAACGCTGGAGCAATTCGAACGAGCTACCACGGCCTTGATCGAGTCACCCTGCACATTGTCGAGGAAATGCGGCAAGAAAAAGAACGCGAAGGAGTTCAGACCTGTGAGGGCCTGTCGTCAATTCAAATCGCTGAAGTCAGCGACGATGAGGCACAAATGTCTTCTACGTCTCTAGGTGTGTCGTCATCAACCTAAACGGTGACGGGATTCTGGACTCGACTTGGCACCCGGAATTTCTCCGAGAAAAGGGTATTGAGGAGAACCAATAACAGTGGCCCAAAATAAAAAAGACCTACGTAAGGTCGAGGACGACTAGGCCACCTTTAGCCGCCTCCAACGAGCCATACACCGGGCTTTCGACGCCATCGTCGCCGAGGGCTATTACCCAGATAACTTGAATGTATTGTCATGCACGCGGTTAGTTTAAACTAGAAGGGGGCTGTAATGAGAATCGCTAATAATCACGCGTATCGGTCGGTTTAGTGAGCATGCCAGCGAGTAGCACCAACCGGTACGCATGTCGATATCGTCGTATGCGCGCGCGTGTATGTGATGGAGGGAAAAGGGGCGCTTGGTGAATTTAATCGGCTTCCGAGCTAGCCTCAAGCAAGTTAGCATAATCTATGCGTCGACGTGTTATCCTTTTTTTAAAAAATGAAAGAAGATCAAAGATCTTAGGAACTATGATATAAAGGACGACAGGCACACCTGTCCAAATTTTTCGTGCGTAGGCCGAAGTTGGTACTTGTAATTACGGCGATCATAAAAGAAAATAAATGAAACTCAGAGCTACCATCAAAATATTAAAATTCGACATATTTCCACTGGCTAACCTGTACCAAATCTAATCCTGCATACGAACGTATGTATCGTCTGGAACCGCGCTTTCACGATTTCGCGGCGCCACTTTTATGAGCGAGCCGAAATATACCTCCCCTCGTGCAGAGCAATAAGTAACAGCAGACGACAGCATCGTCGAACACTATCAACGGGGAATCCGTACGCGGAAATCCGCGCCGCGATCATCAAAGTAAGAACACAGCACGGAACTTGTGCCGTGACGATATCATGGCAACCTGAGCGGACAAGCGCACACGACGCGCTAAACAGCACACATCTACATGCAACCTCTTCGCATTAGTATGCCTGAAAAATAACTGACCCTGTTATATAACTACATAGACAGTTCAATTACTTTAACTGCTCTGATAATGTTGCAAAGATTTAATTATTCTTTGCTACTGAAAGCAGCAATTATCAATTTCTAAAAAATAATGTCAAAAATATACATTACAATACTTCAAATTCTTTGCTTGAATAAACATTTGCTTCCTACTCATTTTCTGAATTCTATAAAGAAACTCAACTATACATTTTAATTCCTACTTACAGGTAAATAAAATAACATGACACTTCTATGAGTAGCAAAATTTACCTTCTAAAAAATTTAGACAGTATGTGGTGGCAGTATTATCCTAGTTAAATATTTAATTTTTGCTAACATAATTTTAGAATATTTAATATGATCAATTTGTCTTGTTTACATCAAGCTACCATTTTAAACAATGAATGGATGTATATTGTCAAGTAAATTTCAATAGCTGTTTATGAGACTTGAATTATAAATTTATTTTTAAAACTTCATTGTTGCCATCGAGTCTAAAACCAAAATTCAGCATTTTACAGTGATCACTACAACATATTATTTCCACTGTTACAAGTACAAAATGTGAATAGAAGTCATTCTAAGAATGTAAAATTTCTTGAATTTTATAACAAAACAGATACTTAAGTTTTTAAGATAAAATAAATTGAACTGACTGAAACATTAAATTTAAGTTAAAAATATATTGTACAAACAGCGTTTTCCATTTACTTCTACTACTTCAAGTTTTTCACTTAAAATAACACTTTAATTCGATCTGGAAAATAGTTTATGTAAAAAATTTTAATCAAAATGATTTCTTTTTGTCCATGTGAAATAACTCATAAACTATTTTTTCTAACAATTGAAAACAAAATATCTTTCAATTATTTAGGAAAATTATAGCTAATGAATCTATCTATACAGAAACATTGTGAAGCAATCATATAAATATAATTACAGTAATTACAATTATAATAAACTCAATGAGTTTTGACTTTGTCATTGAATAATTTATCTAATATAATTTACAAAATATATATTCGTAAAAATAAAATAGGCATAAGTACTTATTAGAAATTTCTCTTGTTATTTTGGTAACAAACTTAAATAAAATTATTACTTTATTTATTTAACACAAATAAAGTAACATCAGAAAGAAGAGAAAAAAAAACATTCCGTCTATCAAAGTCTTCTTCCTTAGCAGATAGACTATTACTTAAGCAGTTAGATACTTGCCAAATTTGAATCTTTTTCAAGTTTATCAGCAATTTTTATTGTTAATTAATTTGTAATTAAAATATTTGTCCACATCCTTGCTTATCTTTTATCCCCTAGTTCCTTATCCAAACTTTTTATAAGATGTAAGTTGAATTTAAAATAAGGAAAAACATTTAATCATTTATTTCTATAAACGTGTCATGTTGAAAACAATTAGAATTTTACAAGTAATGTTGTAATATTTACAATTTAAAATAAAATTTTATGTTATTAAAATAAAAATACTTAAATTACTTACAAAGAAAAACAATTTGCATTTGTTGCAGATATTTACTAGTTACAGTTCCTTGAAAGAAAAAGGCTCAATGATGAACTAAAAATATAAATTAAATATATCTCACACAAATAAATACTAAATAGAAGAAAATATATTATTATAAATATATTTATAATATAAAAATAAATACAGCAAAAACATAAAAAGCTTATTAAGAAACATTAATTTTTTATGTTTTGTTATGATAAATACTGAAAATAAGTCATCACATTCAACTCATTCTTACTTTTCCATTAACTAATCATTTGAACGATTTTACACTAATTAACTGATAGAACCTTTTGTTTTCTCTTTACTCGAATTAGATTTACAAGAAAAAACGTGTATTTAGAGTTTTGACGAATCTCAGCATCCATATTTTGAATCATTTATAACCTCCGTGACCCTATCATAATTATAAAAGAATTATAATAATCAGTATACCATAAAATTATTCATGAGCTGCGCGTTACAAATCAATTATTTAAAAAATGCCAAGTCCCTTAGTTGCCAAGTTATTGTTAAAAACTTATTAGTGCTGGACGATTTTCAAAAATTTTTTTTCATTTAAACTACTGCTTGTTTTGAAAAACCAATAACGCAAATTAATTGCACCTATTTGAATTATCCGTAAAAGTATTTTAATCGATGAGAAACAATTGTGGTCTCATAATAACAATAAAATATTTATTTTTATGCTATATATATGACTTACAACGCTATACTGCGCATGCAGCTGATAACGTCAGCTATGATTATCTGGCGTTTACATGTTTCATTCTATACCATACTGCTTTATTACCACCAATCCAATAATTACAAACATTTTATTTTATAGAGTATCAAATGGCGTATAAAGTTAGTTGTATATCGTTTTTATCTCCTTTCGATACTTTATACATCAAATTACCAAAAATTGTGCAATATCAGCAACGCTTAAGCTACAGAAGCTTTGTTTCATTATTGCCAGATGATTAGTATTTGCGCAACAACTGGTACCCTGCTAAAAATGTTTCATTAAAAATTATTAAAGATCATTGAATTTTAATAAATTTCAATTGACTTTAATAAAATGGATTGTTTTCATAAACGCGGCGACTAAAATTTAATCATTTTTAATCACATCCTATCCATTCACATTTTATATGGTAATTCACAAACAATTCGAATCACTTTGAATAATTTTGAAAACCATTTCTATAATTAATGTTAATGAATTGTTAAAAACAATTAATAATTTTCAATATTTCTTTATCGAACGCGTTGTTTAATCAGATTGAATCAAATAGAAATTAATATTTTCTAATAGTTTTGAATAAGAGTCACTCAATCATATTTTATTTAACAAATTTAAATAAATTTCTATGAATTTGAAAAGAATGAGCTGTTTAATCACATTTAATTTAATAACTTTGAATCCACTTCAATAAACTCATGATGTCAGAATTTTCAATCATATTTTGTTGAGTACTGTTCTATAAGATTCAATGCGTTTTAATAGAATATTCTAATCTATCAGACTTAATGCAATAGATATTAATTTGTTCTTACAGTTTCGAATAAATGATCTATTCAATTATCTTCTATTTAATAGATTTTAATAAATTTGAATACGGTTGACAAGAATTAATTATTCAGTTGCATTTAATTTAAGAACTTTAAATATAATCCAACAAATATGATGAAATGAACTATTCCATCACATCAGATATATATTCCAATGTTTCTAATTTTTCGTAGCTAAAAATATAATGCAATCGATTTTAAGTTACAATAAACTACTAAAACATTGCCATATTAAAAAATAATGCTCAAATTCAATCTTTGAATTAAACAATATTGTGACTTCTTTCGAAAGTAAATATTACTATGCCAAGACCACTAATTTTAAAGAATCTTATAAAAACTTTCCATTGATAATTACAAAATTTGATTAAATTTTAATAGAATCCAATCACTTAGTTTTTATTAGACTTGGAGATCATTTAAAATTTGAAAGAAGTAATGAAAAATATTATGGTAAACAAAAGATGACATTTAATATCTACAAGCTTAGCGATATTATACAATAAAATTTGATGGCAAATTCTAATGTTGACAATTTAATAGAGTATATTAAAAGTTATTAGATTAAATAATTGGAAAGTTTTTTTTTAATTATTGGAATATATTGAAAATGAGAAAATAAAATTGTTGAATAGCTAGTTGACTAAAAATCATCAGAAATTGTTTGTTACTATACAACTGAATGTGATTGAACAATGTGTCATATCAAACAGTTTTGAAATGTATTTCAAAGTATTAGGTAAAATGTGATTAACTGATAATTTCTAAAACTACTATAAAAAGTGATTTAATAGGATTAAGATTAATTGTACTTTTTCATATGATTGTAATTCCAATTAGATATGATTAATAATGATTTAATTTCAATCTATGTGTTTATTGAAAATCATCAAATTATTAAAAGTGATTGGATTCTATTAAAATTTAATACATTTTAATAACCATTAATGGAACTTTTTAGGAGAGATTCGCAGTAATATTTACTCTCGATAGAAGTCACAATATTGTTCAATTAAAAGATTGAAATTAAGCATTATTTTATAATATGACATTATTTTAGTAGTTTATTGTAGCTTATAATTCCGATACGAAAAGTCATTTCAGTAATTCATCATTGGTGTAGCGGTATAATGGTCAATTTCAATGGAGGAGGTAGCGGGCTTAAATCCTGACCAGTACACATACGACCCAAGCAGCAACAATTGTTTCAAAAATGTTGCTGCAACATACTCTTTGCAACATCTCTAACATATTTCCGGCAGCAAACAAAAATGTTGCAGAAACGTTGCCACGCAACGTGAAAAATGTCCGCCTTTATTAAAAGCAAAATGTTGCCACAACGTTATTTCAATTAATTGCCCGAGCGTTGTCACAACGTTCTCAAAACTTTTATTTGGGAATGCTTCTGCAACTTTTGCACAACGTTCCTACAACGAGGGAGTAAGAGAGAAGGAGACCCCACTCATACGGCCGGCCAACAGAAATCTCGGACGTTTCCACCATAGACATATAAAGTATAGACGCCGTTAGTCTCTTTGATATGCCGACGCTCAAGTGTAGAAAGAGAGAGAACGAGCCAAGTGAGCACATCTGTCTCTTTCTAATAGGGTCACGTGGGCTCTCCTCGCTCGAGTGTACTTTTGGCGCGTTCAGCCGTGCCGTTCAAAAGCGAACATGGCAAACAAATTTTGTTTAAGTATGCGTTGATCGTTAAAAATCACCTTTGTTTAATAATTGAAAACAAAATGTAATGTAATTATTCCCAGTTATTTCAGCAATTTGTTTCGTAATGAGAACGCGATACGATATACATGAACATGAAAGGTATACGGTGCAAAGTCGACAGAGTATGCGTATTAGATTTTATAAAATATTTTAACACCAGCCGAATTATAAGCTAGCTATGGTCAAATAGTAAATCGATAACTTTAATCTCAAGTACACCAGGCTAAGCCCCTTTGCCTACGAGTTTATATACTACTATCAATATTGCTATGTCACTTGCAATGATAGCTGTGCGTTCACCGCGTCCACTTTTGGTTCGCCCACGCAAACACGAGCACAGAGGCGCGAGAAACCTACACCGGTCCCCGATGACTCGCCTCGCTTCTCGCTCCCCCGACTATCCATCAAATCTTTGCGTGTCGACTCGCATCCTGCGCCATACGACGCTTTCAAACTCGATGCGATCGGTGTCGCCCTAACTGCTATCTCTCCGCTCAGCACCATAAACTCCCTGAACGAGGTGACGGATCGCGACAACGTCTCGTCTACATCGTCAAGGTCGTCAGTTTTTGAGTTTCCAGCTTGTTGAGGCGATCTCTCAGTCCGAGTTCGTTCCAGAACCGGCCGCGCACGCGCCGCATTCCCCTCTGGACTTCTCGAAGACCGCGCGGTCTCTGCAGTTTCCATCGAGTTCCTGCCCGGCTGATCCACCCCGCGCGTTCTCGTCGATTCACCTCTCGACCGACGCCCGAGCGTCGGACTCCCTTGGCCATTTCCTCGATTTCGCTCTGATTCGCGTGCATCCAGCATTTCCCCTGACTCCAACGCTCGCTTTCCTCGCTTGCGCTCGGGTCCTGTTTCACGAATTCTTGTCCATTGTTCGTTGAATTCGATCCAGTCGAACTCTTTCCTCGAACTCTCCTTGATTCTATCTTTCGCGCACTCGCGTTGCATAGAGGCCTCCGTTTTCGCGTTATTCGTGCCTAATCTAGTTTCATTTCGCTCAACCTGCTGTTGAAACTCTGCGAACTTGCTATAAAACAGCCTCATGAATGCGACTTTTGCCCCGTTGGGTGCCCTATTACGCATAACTACGCGGAATCCGTCGGGCAACTGGATCCCGCTTTTAAGTTTTCTAGAGCTTTGAGACACACCTGACATTGCGGACATGTTTCCAACGTCTTATTTTTCTTACCGCAGCCTTGGCACGTTAACCCTGTTCTACTTCCCTGTGAACACCGTTTCGCATAATGTCCTAGCTGTTGGCATCTGTAGCAGCGCACTGGGTTCTTTCCCCGATTACGACTCGTACTTTGGTTAGAAACCCCTCTGCCACTCGTGCCTCCAGCCCCCAACGGCTCCGAGCCTGTTCGCGTCGACTTCAAGGTCTCTGGGCTTGGGCACTCGACCTTCCGATGTCCCAGCCCCTGCATTTGTGGCATACGTCCTGAAAGGTCACGCGCCCTGCAGCGTTCCTCGCAGCAGGGCTCGCATTTCCCCTGGGCGGGCCTCTCTGCGATTGAACTAGCTGCGATAATATGGCTACCATATCTCTCGGCAAGTCTTTTGACGAATCCACATCCTCTCGTTGAGCTACGCCTTCACTATCTGGATTGCGGCTTCTGTCTACGGATTTTATTGCCGACTTATTTTTATTTTCTTGGCGGTCCTTTCTATTCTCATTCCCGACCGCATAGACCCGTTCGCCCATCGCAAAGTTCACACAACTACTAGTCTAAGCGATTCTTTTTAACAAATCTCCGCGGTAAGCAACTTCTGGCATCAGCGACTCCTGCGGCGCTGGCGGCGGACGGTAGCGATTCTCGATGTCCCGTCTGCGTTCAAATCTCTCCCCGTAAATGCGAAGGTATTTGAGCGTTTGAACCTTTTTTGCCCTGATATAAATGCGTAGTTTCGGGTATAAATTATTTATAATCAGCTCAAGCTGCCTACGTTCCGAAAGCTTCGGTTCTAACCTACTCGCAATATACAGGAAGACCGTGAGGAATTCACCTAATGGCTCATCTTCGCCTTGAGTTCGGCGGCGTAGCACGTCGTAAACATCCTCGCGCGATTGCCGCGGACAAAACTGGCGCTGGAATTCATCTTTAAACTCATGCAATGTATCCCAGCTCGGGCGATTCGTTTCCCACCATAAAGCCATTTCGGCGCTAGTAAACGACAACATTAGCGCCGACAATATCTCCGCGTCCTCAAATCTGTAAAATGATTGCATTTCATGCAATCGCCTCAAAAATTGCTCCGCTGTCAGTCCGCCTTTCTTCGAGAATGCTAAAGACCAACTTTTTACCGCCGTGACCGCGTCTGCTTGTTGCCCATTAAGAAATCGGCCCCTCGGTTTACTCTCGCGCTCTTCATTTAACGCGCTCTCCAGCCACGTTTCGTCGTCGTCGAGCGCCGAATCGTAGTCCGTGTCCTCTGCTTCATCAGGCTCTCTACCGGCTTCACGCTTGCCTAACCGCGCACCCGCGGTATCATTCACGCGCTTCTGATCGTAATTCATCTCACAAGGTCGGTACTTCGCCCCCAGCTGCGCGCCATCACGCACCGGCGTGCTCGTACTTCCCGGGCCTCGTGTTGCTACCTACGATATACCCTCGCGTTTACCCCAGCTCTAGGCATTATTCACCCTAGATGCTGCCGAAGTCAACCACGCCGGCCAAAACGTTTTTACTGCGCGTTGCTAAATCGATGGCTCCTGACCATGGAAACTCTCCGGTCGCCGCTCCGCGCGCGCTCGCACAATCTCTGTTTGCGTTTTCACAATACCTAGAGCTGGCGCGAAGTCCATCGGCACCGAACGATGCAAGCCCGCTCTTTAATCCCTTCCACGCACCTCCTCACATACAATCGCACCATCTGTGGCGCGAACTCGCGTCTCAGATGGCAACGCACATGTTCGCCGCATGCCGTCACTCGGCTCACGTCGAGCGCTTACCGCTGTGTTTACCGCCGCCTCCAACGTCTCCAACAGTGACCCGACCCGCGCCGATAATGCGTTTCTCGCATCAACGATAGTTGGTATTTCACCTGACAGAAAATCGTCAGCTCTCACAGGCGGTGCCGATTCATGACGCACGCCTTATAAAAATGCGCGAAATGCCCTGTCCTGCACGATCGCAGTCGTACCGTCCGTAACTAGTCCGTTCGACGTCATCCATATCAGCAATTCTTGAATTTGCATTGCCTGAATACGCTCCCATATTGACTTTACTACAGGAAACTTCATAACTCGCCTTCTAAACGTTTCCGGCCGCGGCTGCGATTCTGCAGCTTTCCGATGCTTGGGCGATCTCGTCACCGGCATCGTACTTCACGCGACCCCGCGCGGTAAACAAACAGGCGCCAAAACAGACCCAAGCTTTCCTCGGCCTATTTCACCTTCAACAGGCTTAAGCGTGCTTGTCCTCTTTGTTTTCGAGAACAGCTCAGCGTGCACAAGCCGGGATGCCCATGGTGCGAGTACGCAACACAAAGACCTTACTCAGCCTATAAACACGCCTAACCTTGAGCTCTCGCTCAGCAACAATCCAAACAGCCGAGAATGATCGTTGCGATTCTCGCAACTTTCAAATTCACAAACAAACAATTCAAACGTACAAATTTCGACTAGCCAAAACACCCGACTCGAGCAATCGCAATCTGTACAATAACAGCACACCAATTTATAGCGTAATCGCTTAATCACAACACCGCAATACTCGCCTCAGCCCGTTTCACTAGCTCCGGGCTTCTGCGTAACTCGAGCCAAATGTGTTGACGACACAATAATGACGAAAACTCAAAATGTCCCATGTAACTAAAATTTTCCCTTTTCCGAATTATTTCCACAGCTCTCGCTTGTTACTCCGCGAATTCACCGAGCAAAAGCACAAGGGAATTATCGCGATCACCTCTTCCCAACCAGAACAAAGCGATGCGAACAACGAAACCCGCCGAGATTAAACAAGGGATGCCATGCGAGAGGGTACAGCCACCGTGCGCCTTGGTCTGGTCTCTGCTAATTTTTCTGGGTTCTTTGTCGGTAAAGAAAGCCGGCGCTGACTTTCACAGACCGAAGTTCGCTCTGGATCGGGAGGTTGATAGAAATAATCGAACACTTTAATTCTCTTATATTACATATGGCGATCCCATTTATTGACCCCTTTTCACAAATATCGCTACAAGATCTACTTAACCGCAGTGAGCGCGCTCGCTCAACCTTTCCGCGACCAGAGTTCGCGGGATCACGCGAGCGAGATCACTCAGCGTGCGCGATAAATTTCTCACAATACGCTAATGTCTGTAATCGAGCGAGAGCTGACGTGAAAGAGATAAACTGGTCTTAGACCCACCGGATGCCGACGGTCCGTCGATAGAGAGGCGACGCCGGCGAAAGCCTAGACCCGCCAGAAACGGAGCCCTGGTGACGGTCGAGGTTGCTGCAGGAAGGGCCGCAGCACGGCCTTTGCCTCGTGGACGGCGAATGGTCGCTGCTTGTCCGGGCTCGGCCTTGAACACCTGGTTCTCCTGGCAAGTGGCAGTCGCACTCCTGGCAGTAGTTCCTCTCCTGCCGGAATCTTGTCTCCACCAGTCTCTCCTTAGGTGACCCTAATTACGCGAAAGCTCGCGCCTAACTGCCCTTCCTCTCTCTTAATTTTCTAAGCCTCGCGCTGCCACGCTCCCACTTCTCTCGCCGTCAGAAGTCAGTCAAAATCGCTCTCTCTCTCGCTTTTCTCGCTCTCACTCGCACTCACGGCGACACCTCGCCGATCGTCGCGCTCCTCTCTCCAGATCCTGCAACGACACAAGTACGTATGTAGTCGCCATATAGCATACACTTGGTCGCTGCGCTCGCGCGAGGAGAGTGCCGCACACAGGGCTAGCGAATATCGCTATACCCTGTCACAACGTGCATTCATTGTATACGAACTACTATTATCATAGGTACGATACCATTATAAAGTAGATTGTATACCTATTGTAAAAAATATCCATTATTTATTTTAATCAATACTACGTATACAAGTATAACTTGTATACGTAGTATTATATATAACTCATTATATAATATTTCACTAAAAGTTTAATAAATAATTGTAAATAAAAATCTTTTTTCCTGGTAAAAAAAAATTTTTTTTTTTAATTTGAATATTTTACGTTGAATTCGTATTCGTTGAGTAAAAACGCATAATTTTTGCTCTTATGATTTTTTTAGTTTGACTCATAGTTTTTGAGTTATGAGCTGTTGAAAAAAATGTGATTTTTTTTACATAAAATTAAAAAATTCCCTAAAAAATAAATGAACCGAAATTCTGCATAGCGCATTTTAAACAGGAGTACCATAGCTTTAACCTCCATTTTGTTTTTTTTTAATCCGATTATTTTTAACAAAATTATGCCAATTTGAAAATGGACGAAAAAAATTGAAAATTTTTTTTTTTCATTTGTTTATAAAAAATTAATTTAACATTATTTTTTTAAATATTTTATTTTATTATATATACAAGCTTCAAAACGTACTTTGAATTTTTTAGATCGGTTATTTCCTTATAGAGGTACAAAACTTCAAAGTTTAACAGATTTTTGATTGGTTGGCCAAATTTATGTGAGCGGCAGTGTATACTATTTTATAACTTTCATCTTGACATTTGTATTATATTCGTTTTATGCCAAATAATCAATCAATATAATTAATCGTAATCTCAAGTACTTTAGGTTAAGCTCCTGCACCTACGAATTTATATATATAACTTCCAATACAAACCTGTCATATGCATAGCTATTCGTGCAAGTTAAGGCGCCATAACTTTTTGCATACGCACACTCGAGTCCTGGGTTTCTAGTCTTTAGTTAGGCATATTTTTTTTCTAAATAAATATTCGTGTATATTGTAACGGGGTTTTAGGTTTTCCCGTTACAAAGGGGAGAGACACGAGCTGCGCGTTAGGCAGCTCGTCGCAGGGGGTACGGCACCGCTTACCTGGGGCCTCGTGTGCCCGTCCTTGAAGTCGGCAATCGGCCCGCTGCAGCCACAGGTGCTCGAATCTGGTAGCAAGCGCGATGCGGTCGTAATCGGCGATAGGTCGCGGTTCTGATTGCGTACGCAAGGAATCGAGGAAAGAGCCAGGCGCATCAAATAAAGAGCGAGGTTGATAGATAAGAGCGTTTACTAACTAGTAGAATCATAAGTGATACAGAACAAAATGAGAAAAAGGGTTATGTCGGAAGAATGAACAGGGTACAGCGGTGGAATAAAGAGAGCAGGCTACAGTAGCGTAGAGAGAGAGCAAGCAAAGTAACTAGCCGGTACTTACAGTACGAAGCGGGCTCCTCGCACACACACTCGCTCGCGGGGCTCGGCAGAGGCTTGTCGCAGCAAGCGGCTCCCGACCCGTCTCTCTCGCTCGGTCGTCCTGGGGTCCAACGGGCGCACCAGGAACGGCTTCGGGGCACGTCGTCTCTCACACACTCGCACGCGAGTCGCGAACGTAAGCGGGAGCACGGAAGGTCGGCGATTGCGGGGGTAGCTTCCCTTTCTGCCAGGCAGCTCAGCTGGGCGCGCGTCCGTTCTCTCTCGAGGGCGGGCTCCCATTGCCGCGGCGCTCGCTCTCTCGCGGCCGCGACTAGCCGGCACTTGCCGCGCACACGTGCTCGAGCTCTCTCTCTCTCTCGCTCGCCCGCATTCTCGAGTGCCCTATAGTGCTCTCTCTCTCTTTCTTACCAACTGAAGAATGCGGTTATAGCCAACCGCTAGCCCCTCGCACGCCTCCTCTGCCTGTGAACATCTAGATTATCAATATAGTTATAAAGTAGTGCGGTCCAGGCAGAGAGGGACGTAACGAGTGTCTAAACTCGTTACATTCCCCTCCCCTAGCCGGATATTGCACGAAAGGGTACCGGCGAGTCACTTGTCTCTCTCTGCCCTGTAATAAAAGAAAAGTATAAGGGATCATGCGACAGGGACACGCAATCAAAGAAGGAGTCAGTTCTCATTTGAACAAATGCGAAGACGCCTGGCGTCCCGCCCTCTTTATTGTACACACAAAAAAAAACAAACAACAGAAATGAAAAGGGATAGAACAGCTCGCCGCGGACACTATCTTCGCGTGCTGTGCGCGCCCACGCGGGGGCCCCCAATCTGAGAACTAAATAAAGGCGTCGGTGCCTGATTAAAACGGAGCCTGGGGGGCTAATCCCGCGTGGGTGACGGGCGCGGGCCACTGAGGCGCAACGGCCGTCACTCAGTGGCTCGTGATCCGGGGTCTTCCTCGACCTCTTCGGCCGCCCCGGCCTCTTCATTGCCTCCGTCGTCGTTGTCCTCTTCACCCTCGGAACTTCCGGATTCTTGACCTTCGTCTCCGGAGCCCGAGGGCGAGGTGGCACTGGATACGCCACTTTGCTGGGCTTCCTCCGGCTGGTGGGGGTCGGGGCTCTCGCCAGGCGCTGCGCCGGTGGAGTCGGCCCCGGAGTCGGAACCCTCCGGCTCGGCAAGGGCCTCGGCGGCTGATGGCCCTGGCTTGCGGGCATAGAGCCCGGGTTTGGCGGGGCGCACGTCTACGCCCGCCTGACGGAGCTCCGTGGCCCGGCGCTCCAGCTCCTCCTCCCGGTATTCGTACTAGTCCAGCGGCGCCGGCCCCTCCTTCTTCCACTTCTCATGCTGGAAGAAGTTGGGGCAGCCGTTGAGACGAACCACCGCGGCCAGCCCGCAAGCGTGGCACCGGCTCCTCAGGAGGAGATCCCCTCGAGGGCCGGCCCACTTGTCGCAGGGCTCGGTGGCGTCTTTGTAGGCCTTGGCCACTGGCGCTGGGGAGGGGAACGGGGAGCGCGCCGAGGCGGAGGTGCCACTACTCTCCGCGGAGCTCTGGCTCATTGTTCGCTGCCCCGGGGCAAACGGCCTAGGGGCAGGCACAGCAGGGGGCGGGAGCCGCTCTACGCAACGGCGTAGGTCGGCCCTCAACGCCGCCAGCTCCTGCTTTTTCTGCTGCAGCTGTTGGCGTAGGGCCCTCTCCTCTTCTGCCCGCCGTTGTCGCTCTTCTTGGGCTGCGCGCTGCTCAGCCTTCCAGGCCTCCTCCCAGGCTCGGCGGGCTCTGATGAGGCTCAGTTCGGCCTCGACCTTGGCCACGCTGGGCCCGGCTACCGCGGCTCCTCTCGCCCCCCGATCCCGCACAAACGCCAGGACCTCGGCGTAGGCTTCCTGCTCCGCCTCGGCCAACCTGATGCGCTCCGACCGGAGCGCGCGGGTGCGGTCCCAAAGCTCGCACCACTCATCCCACAGATCCCGGGGGGGGTCCCCTCCGGCCTTGGCGCAACGGCGCGGGCCGGGGAACTGACCCCGGGTTGCGGGCCGGACGACGTTTGCTTCGCCCGGTAGCGAGTGGGCGGCCTGGACTCACCCTGACTCCGCTCGTCCGGAGGGCTGGAAGCGAGAGCACCCGCATCAGGGGTGGGCAGAGCAGGGGTGGACCGTGAGGGACGGTCTCGTGGGAGAGGAGCCCGACATCGAAAGCGGGCGTCAAAGTGCGCGAAGTCAATGACGCGCACCTGGAGGTCGACCTCCGGCATGTCAGGGACTCTTCCTGAGTCGTCCGGCGTGTTGGTGATGCGTTGCCAGAACTGGATGGCCAGTTGGAGGTCCTGGGGCTCCACAAACATGTGGAGCGCTCGGTCGTCCATCTAGGGGAGTAGTAAATGGTCAGGGCACGTTTCCCGATCCAGACTAATATCCAATACATACAAAGCAGTCACAACCAGCAGAAGTCGAAAAGGAAAATAAGCAGAAGAGTGTGAGGCAGGTCAGCGTAGGGCAAAATCATAATAGGGAGAAAGCGGAAGCAAAGAAAGTTGGATTAGTAGCGGAGTCGCTCGCTAGTCGCCCCTCCCTCGCTAGATTTTCTTCGCCACCTTAGACCGCAGCCGGCGCGGGGAAAGCGCTTCGGCAGCCGTCGCAAGTACGAGCTTTTTCGACCCCTTAGGGCGGCCCCTCTTTCTCCGCGGTGCAGCCGTTTCTGTTGCGCCGGGAGCGGCGCTCTCGGCCTCCGTGGCTTCTTTGGGTGTGCTGTCCGCACCCCTGTCAGCGCTCCACTGGTCCGTGAGCGACGTTGGGTCTGGCGGCTGCTCTTCCGCCGCCGGCCTTTCCTTGAAGAGGTCGGCGAGGGCCGCCTCTTCTTCCAATTCGGATTCTGCCTCCGCGTCTTGCGGGAATTGCTCTTTGTCGCGGCAGGGCTTAAGGTCGCAGACGGCGACCTTTTCTATTTCATGGCCCTGTAGGTCCGAGAGCCAATAGGTGCCACTGCCAACGCTCCTGGAGACAAGGAAGGGGCCCGCGAATTTCGGGGATAGCTTTGCGGCTACCTGCTTGGCTGCCGACGAAAGTACGCGGTTTTTGGCCCATACTTTGTCTCCCGTGGCGTAGGTTACGTCACGATGCCTGGCGTTAAAGTACGCCTCCTGCCGGTCCTGGGCTGCTCGAGATTTTTCGAGCGCCACCGTGCGAACGCTGTCTACCTTACGCATACGGTTGGCCCAGCGACCCAGAGCGGCAGCCTCAATCTCCTCGGCTACGGCGCGCTCCTCCGCTCGCCTGGTAGAGTGCGGTGGCTCTGGGTGCCGGCCGTAGTTTAAAAACGCCGGGTTGACTTGCGTTGCCTCGTGCACTGCCGTGTTATACGAGAAAGTCAGCTCGGGTATATAGGCGTCCCAAGACGCATGATTCTCGCTGATAAAGGCCGAGATTATACTCTTGAACATTCGATTAACTTGTTCCGTGGGATTACTCTTAGGGTTATACGGCGCGCACGTCGCGTGTATAACCCCGTTCGCCTCTAGGAAGTCATCTACGACCTTGCAGTTGAAGGCTGTGCCGTTGTCCGACAAAAACCTGTCAGGCACTCCATATCGCAACAGTACGCGCTCGTTCAGGGCGCGCTTGATGGCCTTCGCGCTGAGTTTGCGAAGAGGGATGCATTCTATCCATCGCGTAAATACATCCAGGAAGACCAGCAAGTGCTCGTAACCTTCCTTGGATCGAGGAAAAGGCCCCATCGTGTCGCCCGTCACCAACTCCCATGGCCGGGTGACCAGATGGTCTGTTGGCATATCGTGCAGTTTCGCACGAAACGCGCAACGTCCTTGTAGACGCCTGGCCAATGATACCGGAGCGCTACTCTTTGGTACGTCTTATACCGACCTAGGTGACCTGCCGTCGGCTCGTCATGACACTCCTGCAGCACCTGCTTGCGTTGCTCCCTGGGCACGACGAGCTTCCACGCGTCGTCGTCACAGCCCATCAGCTCGTCTATCACCGGGTGAGGCCTGTAGTGATACAGCCTACTACCCACTAGCTTCCAGTAGGGGTGACCCGCCGGATCGTCCAGCACCAGCTGCACTTTGCGCGAATACCACGCGTCTTGTGGAGCGGAGGCAACGGCCAGGGAGGCGAGGCGCGCTTCGACGTCGGCTTCCGTCTCGAACGCACGAGAGAGCGCATACGACGGGCGCAGCCCGCAGTTTTCTAGGCTGCTCTCTTCGCGTACCGACGCGAGCTGCGCGGCCACGTCTTCGTCTGTCTCGAACATACGGGACAGAGCATCCGGGACTACATTGTCCTTTCCCTTTCGGTGCACGATATCGAAGTCGTAGCCCTGGAGGCGCAGCGACCAGCGCCCAAGCTTCCCGTTCGGGTGCTTCAGGTTGCGCAGCCAAATCAGGCTGTGGTGATCGGTCACCACCGTGAAGTGGTAACCCTCTATGTAGGGCCGAAACTTCTCGATGGCCCAGATAACCGCGAGGTATTCTCTCTCTGTCACCGAGAGCCTTCTTTCGGTGGCGGTCAGGATTCGGCTGGCGAAGCACAGCACTCTGTCCTCCTCGCTTAGGCGCTGGAGCAGGACGGCTCCTAAACCAGTGTCACTCGCATCGCACTCAACGATGAAAGGAGCGTTGAAATAGGGACGCGCGAGCACTGGAGCAGTCGCTAATAGCGCCTTGACTCGCTCGAAAGCCGTTTGTTGCCTCTCCCCCCACTCGTACGGAGCGTCGTCGTGGGTGAGGGCGGTCAGCGGCTCGGCGATCGTCGCAGTCTTCGAGGTACTTGCGGTACCACGAAGCCATGCCCAGGAAACGTTTTAGAGCCTTGAGGTTCCCTAGCGCTGGGTATTGGAGGATCGGCCGCACTCTCTCCGGATCAGGGCGCGTGCCCTCACGATTAACCAGCAGGCCCAGGTAACGTACCTCAGGCATGCATACCTTCGATTTCTTCAGGTTAATCGTGAGACCCTCCTCTTTGATCCTCTGGAGAATCCGAGTCAGCCACTTGAGGTGATCCTCGAATGTTTCCGTTGCGATTATGAGATCGTCTATGTACGCGAACGCGTACGGCTCCATTTCCGGCGGTATAATTTTATCGGCCAACATCTGGAATGTGGCCGGACCGCCTGCCAGGCCATAGGGCATACGAACGAATTCGTATAAACCCATGCCTGGCACGGTGAACGCCGTGATCGGGATTGACCGCTCCGTCAGCGGTATCTGCCAGAAGGCACCCAAGCAATCCAATGCGCTGATATATCTCGCGTGCTGTATCTTGCGCAGTATCACGTCCATGAAGGGAAGGGGATACGCGGAGACGCGGAATACGGCATTCACCTTCCGGTAATCCACGCAGAAGCGATATGAGCCATCTTGCTTCCGAGTCATCACTACTGGACTCGACCACTCGCTCGTGGATTTGCGGATGACTCCCATCCGAAGCATCTTGTGCACTTGCTCGTGCATCTCTTGCTCTATCCTTTGCGAAACCGGGTAATACTTTTGTTTGATCGGCCTCGCCGATCCTACATCCACGTCGTGTTGTATCCAGCCCGTGCAACCAATATGCTCGCTCGAGGCCTCAGGCAGAAGCTCGCGCATCAACTTCTCGACCTCTGCTCTCTGTTCCGACGTGGCATCCTCGATGCCTAACGACGATAGCCTCGCTACCTCGTACGTCCCCAAGGAGGAGAGAATGGCGGCTACTTCCTCCTCGCAACCCGCGATCCTCACCAGGTTGGTGTCAGGATCAAGCTTGGCCGAGAAGGCTCGCACAAAGTCTACTCCAAGAGTGCAGTCTGTCTCTGCCTCCGACAGGATGAGGCAGTCGAGAGGTCGCGTTACTTCTCCTATGCGAAAGGGCAAGGACACGCTGCCTACTATTGGCACCGCGCGTCCGTCAATAGCCCTCGCTACCGAGCCGGTTGCGTACTTAACTGGCCGATTCATGGCCGTGGCCATTTGCAGGCCGATTGAGCTCAGCACTGTGCGTGATACACCGGTGTCGTATAACGCTCGAAACGTAAATGGGCCGACGTTCAGTGTCAGCCACCACCTGGGGTGCTTCTCCGTTAATGCGCTGACCACGGTACCGTCCGCACCTACTACACGCTCGGCGCTTGGCTCACGACTCGTGGCATGCGTTGAGTCGGCCTTGCAGCTCTGCGGAGTCGGCGAATTTCCCGTCGCGCCGTCAGCTTCGAAGGTCCGGGCGTTTGAGAGAGGAGCGGCAGGGACCTTGTCTACGTGCTCCCTTTCTTGTTTTTTGCTATTGTTGAGCACTCGGGGCAAGTAACCTTGGTGTGACCTGGCCAGCCACAACCCCAGCAGGCGACCCTTTCGTTGGGCCCTGCCGGCTTGCCCTTGTTCTTCTCGCTCCTGGGGCATTGCTGCGCTTACCCGCCTCCGCCTTGGGAGGCTCCTCTGCCTCGGCCTTGGCCCCTACCTCGACCTCGGTACGGGGCTCCGCCCTGGCTCTTGGCTGCGCCATCTGGGCCCGGAGCTGAGGCTCTCGTGGCCTGGGTTTCCTTGGCCTGCTCTGCGCTCACCGCAGCCGAGCCACTCGGCAGGGTCTTCATGAAGGTCTTCCAGCCCTCCTCCATGAACTTCTTCAGACTTTGCTCCAAGTCCTTCTCTGTGAAGCTCGGGGGCCGGGTACTGAGCGAGGCCACTGTGGCTCTAGGCTTGGCTGGTTTCGTCTTGGGCTTGTATGCTGCCTCCGGCAGCATACACCTCTGTTGCGCCGGAGGAGGCTGCCACTGCTCTGTGGCCTCATCCTCTTCGGCCTTCTGAGCCGCAAGGAGCACCTTCTGGACCGTGGTTAGCTGCCCTCTTATCTTGCGCATCCTCCCTCTTAGGGGAGGCAGCATGTTATCGATGATCAAGTCGATCTGATCCCGTTGGCTCCACGGCTGCTCAAAGCGGCTAAAGATTGTTAGGAGCGAGACTATGTAATCTCGGACCGGCTCGTCTTCACCTTGAGTCCGGCGGTTTGCTTCAACGGGAAGGCTCCTTTTACAGCGGCGTGACTTGCTATAAGAGGCAAGAGCAGCTTCTCTAAAATCTTGGAAGCCAGTCCACATTGGCCGCATCTGGCGGTACCAAAACAGGGCTGGCTTCTCAAACAGAGCCACCATGGAGTCGAGTAACTGGGCCTCTGACACTTGGTCGAGACGGCTGTTCTCCTCCACCTGCTCGAGAAACTCCTCGATGGTAACGTTTGACTCCCCGGAAAATTTCATTTTCCATTCACGGACAGTCTATCCCAGGCTTTTACTCTGGGAGCCCGTGCGGGAGTAGTCCGTGCTCAGCTGAGTGCTCCCCATGGCACTCGTCGTCGAGCCCTGCGGATGCTGCGCCATCATCTG